CCTCTCTAGCCACACTGCTTCTGAGGTCCTCCCTCCTCTCTGCACCGAAAGCTTTCCCAGACTACTTGACTCCACAATAGAACTCATGCTCCACTGTATGATGAAAACTTTGTATAAATACATTGCCATGCCCTAGAAGTTACAGGGCCCAAGATACTGATCTTTGAAGAATCTGTCCATCTAGCTAAATCAACACAAGCAGGAGGCAGAATAATAGGAGAGACCTTGTCTGATCTGCAGTTAAAAAACACCCAGGATAGCTCTCAGCCTTAGCGCCATTTTTTTTGGAAACCTCTGCGCCATGAGAGCCAAGTGGAGGAAGAAACGAATGTGCAGGCTGAAGCGCAAAAGAAGAAAGATGAGGCAGAAGTCCAAGTAAACCGCTAGTTTGTTGCACCGTGGAGGCCACAGGAGCAGAAACATGGAATGCCAGACGCTGGGGATGCTGGTACAAGTTGTGGGACTGCATGCTACTGTCTAGAGCTTGTCTCAATGGATCTAGAACTTCATCGCCATCTGATCGTCGATCACCTCTGAGACCCACCTTGCTCATAACCAAAACTGCCCATGTTGGTCCTTTGCCCTGGACCTGTGACATTCTGGACTATTTCTGTGTTTACTTGTGGCCGAGTGTAACAACCATAAAATAAATCACCTCTTCTGCTGTCTTAGCTGAAGAATTAAAAAAACAAAACAAAACAAAACAAAAAAACAAAAAAACACCCAGGATAAACACACTGGCTCAGCACTCATCATTCATTCAAAAAATACGTATTATCCATTAACCAGGCACTGTTCTACTGCTGGGAATACAGTAATGGAAAATTGGGAGTTGAGGCAATTTGTAAGAGACGTTGGTTGGGCTGAGGAAGTCCATGTTCTACACAGGACAGACCTAATCCCGTTCTGATTGTCGCCTCAGAATTAGTGTTTCGAAGAAGCTTCAGGTGCGAACTGCTGAAGACTCCCTCCTCATCTTAGGCTGATCTAGCCTGCAGACCAATGGGGAGAGTGCAAGTGACACAGCAAAGGGAACATTCCATTCACTTATTAGCAGTTAGGGTAGAAAATGAGAGTCTGGGCCAGGCACAGTGGCTCACGCCTGTAATCCTAGCACTTTGGGAGGCTGAGGTGGGTGGATCACGAGGTCAGGAGTTAAAGACCAGCCTGGCCAAGATGGTGAAACCCCGTATCTACTTAAAAAAAAAATTAGCCGGGCATGGTGGCGGGCGCCTGTAATCCCAGCTACTCGGGAGGCTGAGGCAGAGAATGGCTCGAAGCCAGGAGGCGGAGACTGCAGTGAGCTGAGATCACACCACCGCACTCCAGCCTGGGCAACAGAGCAAGACTCCATCTCAAAAACAAATGATAAAAACAGAGCGTGAATGGGTTAGTGCTCAAGGGACTTCTAAAGACGAGTGAGAAAAAACAGACAATGCCCTCTGACACTGATATCTTTAGAATGCATATATGGTCTGCCCACTGGGCTTCTGCACTAAACATCATTAAGAGAGTCCTTATTTCCAGGTCCCCCAAAGTAGTCTCAGCCACCTCACTCTTCTGCTGAATAATTCTGCACATAGAAGAGTTACAAAGGGTAAGGCAGGAAGACATATACAGCGGGTGGTGGAGCTGATGAGCTAAGACTCAGGGACTGAAAGGGAACTAGAACTGTCTACCATAGGCCCTTACCTTCAGAGATCTCATGAAGGGAGCACACCACCTCTACCTGAATAGCCTGTGTAGTATATGGTTATTTTACGTTTTCTCACTCAATATTGTTAGGGTTCTACTAACAGGACCACAGGTTTAACAGGAAGCATATGAGTTTTATAACCAGAGACCTGGGTTAGAATTCTGAGTCTTCCAGTAGTTGTGCCACTTTGGGCACTTCGTAACCTCTGTGAGCCTATTTCCTCATCTCTGCAAGTATTAAAATCATGTGATATACTTAGCACAAAAAGTAGTCGATAAATGGTGGTTGTCAGTCATTCTATCCCCCAGTCTGGGATACTGAGGACAGCTTCTATAGCCCTGCTGTTCCATTACAGATCTTAAGACATTGCAAGCAGGATAAGGGCAGCCCTGGACATGTACCACTGGGGTATGAGAAAAATGCACTTATAATACTCATCTAGCCCTGAAAGCCTTCCTCCCCAGGAAGGGGGGTGGTGCCAAATGGTAGGCACCATCTAGAAGAGAAGGACCCCACAAAGTGTTACATCCAAGCTCATGCAGGCCTTGCAGGTACAATTTCAAAAACAGGTTATTCCAGGGTCTTCTTGCAGGACTACGAGGCCAAGAACATCTAGACAGCAGAAGTACTCTGGCTCCTGGAGAATGGTATCCATGTACCAGCCTCAAGCTGAGAATCCGATTAAAGGTTGTTACAATGAAGACAATCCTTAGACGAAAAAATGGAAGCCCCTATCATAGCAGCTATCATATAGCACTTGGTATACTTTCTCATTTGTTTTCCTTTGACAGCCATGGAGATTCTTAAAGGTAATAATTTTATCTTATTCACTGTTGTACTTCCAGTGCTGCACACAACAAATGCTCAATGTTTCCCGAAAGAATTTGGCCAAAAGCCCTACTATCTCCAACCTTGCTGATTACTTAAGAGTGGTAGAAGATGGTCAGATGTGATGCCATAGCTGCCTACCTTGGGCCATGTATCACCAAGCACAGCTCAAGGAATAAGCTCGCATCTTGGTCTCTACACAGAGGCAACAGTGTAACAGGATGTCGGCAAGGATAACCCCCAAATGCCCAAAGCTGTTGAAAGCCTCCTCCCTCACTGAAGTAACTGAGCTAGCTGGTTTTCAGATGGAAAGGCAGTGTAGGCACTGGAATGTGGGCTGCATGTTCCCGCATTGCTGGTGAGGGTGCACGATCTGGCACTGCAGCTGGCTGGTGGGAGGGCTGCATCCTACTTCAGGAGGCGGTACCCTCATGTGGGCTTTCCAAGAAGGCCCAGAGCCCAGGGAAAGAAGAGTGATGGCTGTCACCACAGCTCCAAAACCAAAAGCAACATGACGATTAGGGATGGGTGTGTCCTCAACCCTCAGAAAGAAGACATACCCACACAGCCAGATCATGCTGCTGGGGTAACTCTGGTTCTCGTCCTTATGAATTCTGAGGCTCAGGCTGCAGTCCCTCCCTGGTCCACAAAATCATGTAGTTATTTATCACTAAAGTGCTTGGGATGGAAAGTGGAAAAGAAAAACCATTTCTATTTCAGACACAAACAGCTACAAGCACAGGCCTTTCAGGTGGTGGGGAAGCTGTGGATATTATGACTAGATCCAAGCTACTTTTAACAGCTGAATTTCACAGCAACTTTCAAACCAAGCTAAGCCTTCAGGAAGAGCACTGCAGCTTAGAGAACCAGAGCAAAAGAAGGGCTACGCTTCAACCTGTTACCAGTGAAAGACAGTGCCTTGGTCAAACACTGATCACCCATAAACAGGTACCTATCTCCTATGTGAGCTCTTGTATCTCTTGCTCCAATACAGCAGAAGTGAGAACAGGAGAGACTGGCTTCATAGGCCACCAAGGTTGGCTTCAAGAATACACAAAAAAACGTATCATGGTGTCCAAGCCAAGGTCCCCAGGCATAGGAAACCAAACAGTGACACCATACTTCCTTGCCTAGGGGAACAGGGCAGTTACTGACTTTTCTGGAAAAATCTGAGTCAGCAGAAGGCCAGTACTTCAAGAAACCCTATCTTAACCCAGAAATAGTTACTTAAGGTTAAGCTCTATATCCCCATCCACATCCACATCCGACAATTTCAATACCCCTCCCCTAAATGGGGTTTTACCAAAACAACTAGGCATTAAAATGCCTAACAGACACAACGAGCCCAGGCTCTGCAAAGCATTCTAAAAAAAGACTTGCGCCAAACAGGGTGGAGGCCACAGAAATCAACAAGACGGTACTTTGCTGCCATGGCTGCCGGTTCCTGGACCAGGAAGGGGAAGGGAAGGATAGCAGGCTTGGTGTTTCCCAGTGTCAGCACCAACAACAAATGGCTGCACCCACTCCTTACTGCCCCTTACCACCTTTTCATCTTCCTAGAATATCTGCTGCCAATACCTCTTTATTATGATACAATTTATGTGAAGCAAAATATGTAGGTTGTAAGTATACCTGTAGTATCTAAGTTCCCATTTCTTCCTGAATACTCCAAGACTTGCCCCTCCTGCCTTGTACCACAAGAGGGAAATAAACAGGTAACGGAAGGTCTGAGCAGAAGCAGTTCAAGGGGGGCTGCCAAAAAGTCCCTTTAGTTTGTCCCCATTGAATCCTACCAAGAAGACAAGGGATCCTAAAGGGGAGTGGCTCTTCTTTTATCCAGCTGGTCACTCTCAACACAAAGAAAAGAAAAAAAGGCTCTGTAGCTGGGAGTTACCCCACCCCACTTACCCTGCCTACCCCTTTCCAGGATTAATGCTCTTAACCTTACGTTAAGTCAATTCCAATATCCCAGCACATTATCCAGCCTCATCTGAGGTTAAAATCCTTTCTTTGCCATGATTCAGAGACCACCCACCCTTCATATAACTCCCTAGTTTTTAAAGCCACTGAGTAATTCTGGTCATCCAGTAATCAGCCCTTAACTCCCCTCCCCCACCTAAAAGTGTTTTGCTTCATCATCTCCAAGACAGGCCTGGGCACCAGGGGGTTAGCCGGATCTTTTCTGCATAAGGCCATCACCTTGGGGACCCTCCTCAGGGGCACTCCAGGTGCAGGCTAACAACTCCAGGGGATTTATCAGGGTAAGTGGAAGAGGCATGCCTGCTTTTACGTGGAGCCATCTGTCCTGCCACACTTACAGCTAGCATTTCCATCTCTTGCAAAACAGCTCCATGTTGTATGTGTGTATGGTGGGGAGTGATGCAAAGGGGAACAGAACAACTGTTGCTGTGGATATCTTCGTTCACCACCCCCAATGCACCCCTTTCCCTCAGCCAACTCATTCTCTGGCACTCACCCGAGTGTGTGCTGCTCTGGGCTGAGGAATCTGAGTCCTGGGTGCTCCAGGGTCGGTCCCAGCCCGTCAGACTGAGGGACTGCAGGCCAAGGCACAAGTCATTTGCATCTGGGAGGCCACGGGAAGATTCTTGCGCAGAGGTTGGAAAAAGCATCCTGCTTGTGACTGTTTCTTCAGAGTCCTGGAAGTCTGCGTTGGACAGGAGCACAGCAGAAATCTCAGAGTTAAGGGCTGTTTTCCCCAATATTACCAACAGTAAATATTATTAATAATAGTTTCCCCAGGCTCGCGGGCCAGACATCCAAGCTGGCTGGATGCTGCAGCCGCTGCCTCTGCACTTTTGGGGGCGTTGGAACAAGAGCAGTTGCCATACAGGCCCCCTCCCCACACACACCCCCTATCCCGTCTGCATTACAGACTGGGCCAGCATGTGATCAGGCTGCTGATGCTTCCCGCTGCCAGTGACATCAGCCGGCTGAGCCGTGCAATAGAGAGCGGCATCATCCCTCACAGAACGGGGGAGGAGCAGGAGGGGACAACAGGGAGGAGACTTGCCTCCCAGGGAAAGACAGCACAACAGCTACTTGGAATAGTCCCGGTGCAGTGCCGGTAAGTATGGGTTGCAAGGCAGCGCCCTCCGATCTCCAGCAATGGTGGCCAAGCAGCCCTCAGGCACGACTGAAGTCCTCTCTGCTGACAGCAAAGCCAAAGCAGCCGACTGCCTGCTTGTGTGGCTCTGCCCTCCTGCCCCTCCCTTTCCCTCCCTCTGCTCTCCACCCCCAAACCCAAAAACACTCTAGTCCTGGACTCTCTCCAGCTGCTGGCTCAAGCCCTGGCTTTGCAGCCCAACGCAAAGCTTCACAATCCTGCTAGCAAAAATCTGTGTGCTCCAAGTGGCCCCTGAGCAGCACCCTGACACAGCAGTGTTTACCACTGAGGAACAAGATAACCTTCAGAAAAACAATGTACACTTGGACCCTGGGGAACAACACCTGGTGTTCCAGGCTTGTCTAGAACAGCTTATCACAGAGAAAGGGGGTCAGTTTTGGCAGAGGATGGGAGTCACTGGGCTTTTCCAGGTACACCTCACAGGACATGGCCACAACCCGTATGCCAGAGTGAGACCTGCCCTGATTAGGATAATCCCTGTGCCCAGACTCCCTCACCCCAATAAGATGGGTATTAGTCGTAAGCAGATATAGTGGCCCAGCTCCACTCCTCCCTGCCCTCCTGCAACTGCAGGCACAGACTGAGGAAACACTCTCAAAGCAGCATCTGACAAACCAAAACAAGAGAAACAGTCTCTAAAATATTGTTATGCCCTATTAGAAACACCAAACTCTGAAGCTTAATCACCCAGCTCTGTCAATATTGCTTCTCTTGTCCTTTTAAGAGCCCTGAGCACAATATTGGGCAGCAGTGAGGCCACTGATGCCTCTAATGCCCAGGCCCTCTCTCAGAGGTGCTGCACAAGACCAGTGCTTTATTTTTGTGGCCACTTCACAGCCCCAGCAACAAAGTCTAAGAAAGTTCAGCTTCTGGAGCGTCCACCATTTCCTCTTTGCCGTGTCCTTCCACATCAGTCCTTTTCCACCATGAGCCCCGGGTCACTGTGCTTCTTCCTCACACAGGAGGGTAGGGCAACAGGCCCAGATTCAGTAGACAGGCTTCTCACACCTGGGACTCAGCTGGTAGCACTCCACCTGCTTGTTCTTCCCTGTTGCAAGGAGAAGCAAACAGATACAGGAAGCATTTCCACCTGGGACCTCCCATGACAGGGTCAAGAGGATACTGCTGCCATAGGAATAGCTGTTCAGAGCTTCCTGTAGTACACCCTGTGTCCATAGGCACTCAGGTATAGCCTAGAGGGGGAAATTATCAGTCTCCTTCCATTGGAGATTTTTTTTTTTTAAGCTTTGCTGCTGTGTCATCCATCCACGGTATTCCTGCTGGCTGTAGATACTCTGCTTGTTCCCTATCTGTGTTTGTCAAAGCCTTGTTCATCACTGCAAAGGTCAAGCAAGAATTGCCCATATTGGTGCTGTCCCTACCCCTGACTACTCCCCCTCTTGCTTCTCTACATTCACCCTTCCCTCAGCTAAGCATATACTTCAGACTTCACCCATATGTATTAGTTACCAAAGCATAATGCTTCCTTCATCCATACTTACGTATCTATTGCCCCCTAAATGAAGTATCTATATAATCCTCTCTACCCCAAACTGAGGGCATCTATGTCTAGAAGCAGCCATTCTCTACCCGTTAAAATCAGGGTAACTGTGCAGATGATTACCCTCATCCCTCACTCAGAGAGAATCAACTATGCTCTTGCTATTCAAAATATAGTGTGATAGACCAGCAATGTGAGCAGCACCAGGAGTTTGTTATAAATACTGAGTCTCAGGCCCCACCCACGACCGATGGAACTGAGATTTGCATTTTAACAAGATTCCCAGTTAATATATATGTATGCAAAGAAAGTTTGAGCAGTTGGGTGTATGGTAGCTCATGCCTATAATCCCAGCACTTTGGGAAGACTGCCTGAGCCCATGAGTTCAAGGCATCAGTGAGCCATGATTGTACCACTGTACTCCAGCCTGGGTGACAAAGCAGTCCCCATCTCAAAAAGTTTGAAAAGTACTGATGTATACAACTAACACAGTCTTCCCATCCCAAGCTGAAAGACCCCAGGCCTGAGTAACAGGTCTGTTAAACCTGAGGACCAAATGGCTACATACATCCAAGAGCCTGGAGTTCTACACACAGTGTAACTCTACCCTCAGCCACACAAACCCCACAACCACAGACCTCACTTTCCTCCTTATCCACACCTCCAGATAAAGGTTTTCACTACCATTGTAGGATTCCTTCACTAGATCCTCATCAATGGAGGCCATACCTGTTAAAACCGTTAGTGTGGCAGGCTGAAAAAAACTTTAGACGACTAACAGACCTTGCTCTGCTCACTAGGTCTGCCACTGTGTCCTTCTGAGCATCTTTCTGAGCATTTTTCATCTTTTTAAGAGGCAACAGTAGCTACCTTTTAGGCATTTTGTGAGGATTAAAGAAAATACTTGAGGCCAGGCATGGCGGCTCAGTCTGTAATCCCAGCACTTCGGGAGGCTGAAGTGAGCAGATCACTTAAGGTCAGGAGTTCGAGACCAGTCTGGGCAACATGGTAAAACCTCATCTCTACTAAAAATACAAAAAACATTAGGTGGGCATGGGGCACAGGCCTGTAGTCCCAGCTGCTCGGGAGGCTGAGGCAGGAGAATTGCTTGGGCCTGGGAGGCGGAGAGGTTGCAAGATCATGCCACTGCACTCCAGCCTGGGTGACGGAAGGAGGGAGGGAGGGAGGGAGGGAGGGAGGGAGGGAGGGAGAGAGGAAGGAAGGAAGGAAGGAAGGAAGAAGAAAATCATAAACCATGTTCATGTACTGGAAGACTCAATAGTGCTAAAAAGTGATACCCACTAAATTAATATACAGATGTTTCTCAACTACAGTGGGGTTATGGTCTGACAAACCCATTTTAAGTTGAAAACACTGTAAATTGAAAATGCATTTAAATACATCTAATTTATAGCTTAGCCTAGCCTACCTTAACTGTGCTCAGAAAACTGTCACTAGCCTGGGGTCTTTCAGCTTGGGGTGGGAAGACTGTGTTAGTTGTATACATCAGTACTTTTCAAACTTTTTGAGATGGGGACTGCTTTGTTGCCCAGGCTGGAGTACAGTGGTGCAATCATAGCTCACTGTCACTAGTTGGGCAAAATCATTTAACAGAAAACCTGTTTTATAATAAAGTGATGAACATCTCATGTAATTTATTGAATACTGTAATGAAAATGAAAACCAGAATGGTTATATGGATACTCAAAAAGTACAGTTTCAACTGAATGCATATCACTTTCGCACCATCATCATGTCAAAAAACATACACTGAACATCCTAAGTCTGGGACCATCTGCACAGAGTAATCCCAATATACCAGACTTCGAACAATTCATTAGGGAAAACCTTTTTTAAAATGTTGCTGGAACACCACATGGGGAGGAGGGAATAAACTCTAACCTATATACAAACATTAATTTAATAGGTATCTGAGACAATACCTAAGTATAACTATAAAGCTTCTCTAAGAATTATTTTTGTAATTTGGTAGAGGAGAGAGGAAGTGCACAGAAACAAGGTTTTCTTTATGTAGAGCACAGAAAACAATGATCACGAAGAAAGTTGATAAGCTGAACTTACCAAAATCAAAAACTTCTTCTCAAGACACCATTAAGAAAATAATCAGGCAAGCAAGAAAATGTGAGGAAATACCCACGAATGTATCTGACAAATCATTAAAGAAATCTTAACTGTAAAGTAACAAAGTCCCAATTGTTAAAAGGCACAAAATCTGAAAAGCATTTCAAAAAGATTCTATAAATGGCAAATAAGAACTTCAAAAATTGCTCGACATCATTAGTCAAAGAAATCCAAGTTAAAACCATAGTGAGATACTACTGCACAACTACTAGGTGGCTAAAATTAAAGAGACTGTACCACATCTTGCCAACATTTGATATCAATCAAAGCTTCATTACCGTAAATGGTACATCTACCTTGTACCTATGAAATCTCTTATATATTTTCTTCCTTTTCAATGCAAGAAATGGTACATTCACTTTGAGAATAGGTTTGCCCATTTCTTAAACAACTAAACACATATTATCCTATGATCTGGAAATTATACTCCTAGGAATTCAACTAAAAGGAATAAAAGTCTGTCTATAAAAACACCTGTGCAAGCATAGTAATAGCAGCTTTATTCATAATCGCTCAAACCTGGATTCAGTCCATGTGAGAATCAACAGAACAAAATGTGGTATATGCATATACCATACTATTACTCAGCAATAAAAAGGAAACTGATACAGGCAACAATATGGTTAAATCTTAATTAAGGTGAGTGAAAAAAGTCATACATAAGTTACGTATGTATGTAATTCCACTTATTTCAATTTTTAGAATAGACAAAACTAATATATGGTGAAAAAAATCAGGTGGTTCCCTCTGGCAGGAAGCAGCAGGGTAGATTAGGAAGGGGTACAAGGGAACGAGCTGAGGTGACGCTAACAGTTTTGATGAGAGTGGGGATACATCAGTCAGAATGGATCTAATGACACATTTAGGATTTGTGGAC